AAGGAGCGAGCAGTGAGATGGACTGCACAGGCCCCAGCGGCAGGAAGCAGCAGAGGGGACCGCTGTTGTCCCTCTCTGACCCTGTTCCCACATAGAGCATTACAAACCAGTGACCTGGGTGGCCCCACCCTGTGAACACCTAAGGCTCTGCTCCTCACACGTAACAGGCATGAAAAGATCAAAACATGGCTCAAGAACAAACAACCAGAGCCCCAGAGCCGATAAATCTAAGTGATGAAGAAATAGCCAAACTTTCAGATGCACAGTTCAAAACACTGGTGATCAGGATGCTCACAGAACTGGTTGATTATAGCCACAAATTAGAGGAACATATGAAGGCTAAACTAATGGAAATGAAGGGAAATGCATAGGGAATCAATAGTGATGAAAAGGAAACTGGGACTCAAATCAAAGGAAAGAAGACCAGAAGGAAGGAAAAAATGACCAAATAGAAAAATATGAAGAAACAAGAATTAAAAAAAAATGAGGAGAGGCTTAGGAACCTTCAGGACATCTTTAAACGCTCCAACATTCGAATTATAGGGGTACCAGAAGGGGAAGAGGAACAGCCACAAGTGGAAAACTTATTTGAAATAATAATAAAGGAGAACTTCCCCAATCTGGCAAAGGCAAGAGACTCCCAGGAAGTCCAGGAAGCTCAGAGAGTCCCAAAGAAGTTGGACCCAAGAAGGAACACACCAAGGCACATCATCATTACATTAGCCAAGATGAAAATGAAGGAGAGAATTCTAGACGCAGCAAGAGATAAGGGGACGGTCACCTACAAAGCAGTTCCCATCAGACTGTCAGCTGATTTCTCAAAAGAAACCTTCCAGGCAAGAAGGGGCTGGAAAGAGGTATTCCAAGTCATGAAATCCAAAGACCTACATTCAAGATTACTCTATCCAGCAAAGCTTTCATTTAGAATGGAAGGGCAGATAAGGTCAAATTCAAGGAGTTCATCATCACCAAGCCCTTATTATATGAAATGTTAAAGGGACTTACCTAAGAAAAAGAAGATAAAAAAGATGAACAGTGAAAGGACAGAAAACTCACAGTTATTAACAACCACACCTAAAACAAAAGCAAATTAAGAAGACAGCTAGATCAGGAGCGAACCATAGAAATGGAGATCACATGGAGGGTTAGCAACAGGGGAGTGGGAGAAGGAGAAGGGGGGAGAAGGTACAGAAAATAAGTAGCAGAGATGGTAGGTAGAAAATAGATGGGGGGAGGGTAAGAATAGTAGGGGAAATATAGAATCTAAGGAACTTGAGACACGTGATTATAAACTAAAGGGGGGGAATGAAAGGGGGGGGTGTGCAGGGTGGAAGGGAATGAAGGGGGGAAATAGAACAACTGTAATGGCATAATCAATAAAATATATTTTAAAAAGTAAAGACTCTTTCCATGCTGTAGTTATTCAACATGTTTGAATTTTTTTAATAACAGAAATTAGAGTAAAAAATATAAGTTCATTATGGACTGAATTGTATCACCCCAAAATTGATATGTTGAAGCATTAATGCCCCCAATATTTGGTCATGGCGTTTAAGGAGGTAATTAAGGTTGAATGAGGTCAAAAGTGTGGGGCCTAATCCAGTAGAATTGGTGTCCTTATATGTTGGGAATTGCCCTGCCTGGTTTCAGAAGTCGTAACCCCCCCACGGCTAAGGCTGAGTGAGAGACCTTGGGACCATAAGCCACTAAGGAGACAAAGCTTATCTCCTTGGCAGGGGTGTGGCCTCTGTCCCGTTTACTTCACTCTGCCTGGCCCCCAGTGTATCACTGGTCAGCCAATGATGGGCAAGATTCCTCAAGGGAGGGATGACCTAAGACAGGCACAGTCATTGGGACCCTCAAGGAAGGACTTGGGGGCTACAGCAAAAGGGGGTGATGGACCCTCAACCCTTGGCTTTGACATAGCCTGAGTCCTCATTCTCTCTTCGAGAAGTCTCCTAATCTCTTGGCTGCCTTACTTCCCCTGTCTGATTAAAGCCTGAAACAATGACAGAGGTCGGTGTAGCCCTGTGCTGGAAAGGGTGGGTTCCCCGGGGGAGATCAGGCTTAAGAAAGAATACATAAACCCCTGTGAAACCTGCTTTGCCAAGAATGCTTTCAATTTTCTGATAAGCCTCTGAGGAGGAAAAGAGTTTGTTTCCCAAAGTTTTATAGCCCTTTAGCTAATTGACCCTGACTCAGAATAAGCCCTTGTGGTTCTTTGTATGCTATCTATTGTTTGATCCTTACTGACTGACAATGATTGATGAGCTTTACCTGTATTCCTATGCAAATTGAACGCAATAAAAGCCCATTGAGGAAAAGGCTCTTGGTCCTTCTCCTTTGAGAGTTCTGCCACTTTTCCTCCCCAAGCAGATCATGTCTTGGTAGACTTATTCTCATCTGCGGTGGTGGGGGCTCTGTGGGCAAAGCTCCCCCACACTTATATGAAGAGGAAGAGACACCAGATCTCTCCTTTTTTCTCTCTGTCTCCATCTCTGTCTGTCTGTGTCTCTCTCCCTTTCTCTGAGCACACAGAAGGAAAGCCATGTGAAGACACATTGAAAAGGTGGCCATCTACAAGCCAGGTAGATGTCTCGCCAGTCACCAACCTGAGGGCACCCTCATCTTGGACCTCCAGCTTCTAGAATTGTGAAGAAATGAATTTCTGTGGTATTTTGGTTATGGCTGTCAGAGCAGACTAATATAAAGCCCCTTTGAATTCAGACAGATCTGGGTTCTAATCCCCACTCTACATTCCATGAGCTGTATTGCCCTGGGGAAGTTACTTAACCTTTCTGAGCTTGTTTCCTTATCTGTTGAAAGGAGCACTTTCATAGGGCTATTATAAAGATGGCATGTAACATGGGTAAGGAACCTGAATAGTGCTAAGTGCAGAGTAAGCACAGATAGAAGAAATGCTGGTAATAAGCTCAGCAAAGTTCTGCCCTCTATTCAACAATAATTTGGACCCTCTGAAGGAGTCACTAATGAATAAGTTCATCACCCTTATCTCAAGGAACTTGCAATGTTAGAAGATAGAACAGGACATAATTGCCATTAGGAGTGATATGTCCCCAAGCAGTGTCATTCTAAACTCTGCTTGAAGTTAGTCACATTCCCAGTAGAACCCTTGGAGCTAATTCATTCCTATGCGAAATAAGCCTGGCTTTGCCTTCAAACCTCCTCATGCCCCAAAGTGGTGCCAAATTCTAAAGTCTGTGATTGAATTACAAAAAGAGCTTGCAACTGTCCAGTTGGGGGTGCATATGGGAGGCAACGAATCAATGTTTCCTTCTCACAATGATGTTTCTCTCTCTCTCTCTCCCCTCTTTCTCCCTTTCTCTTTCTCTAAAATGAGTAAACATATCCTCAGGTGTGGATTTTTTTTAAGTCCTTGCATCCTGTAAATCTGTAGACCACGTGTGTTTTCTCCCTAGCCTGAGACAGCATCTATTCTGTAATTGAAAAAAACAACCCTGGCTGCCCATTCTGTGAGTCAGACACTTGGAGGGGTTAGTTGCAGAAGCCCTGAAGCAATGCTTGAGGGTGCTGCCCACTCTCACTAGTGTGGATCCAGCAGTCAGAAGATGATGACCACTTTGTGGCTTTGTATTCAGGATGAGAATATTTGTAGCATTTCCTTATCAAAGAGGACATTGACATTGCAGTATTACCATAGGTAGTTAACTAGTTATTAATAAGAGAGAGCAAAGAGAATTAGACATTGAGCTTAATAAATGGGGTCATGAGCCTGTTTGCTTCATCAGGAAGCTATAGCTTCATACCCCACGGGATTACAGCATTACTCCACCAAGCGGAGCAATAACTTTCTTCCCTTCACCCCTCCAGTATGGGATTGTTGGGAGGTGTACAGGGGAAGGTGCTTGATCACAGAGGCCTGTTAGTCTAACTAGGGGATGGGTGGACTTATCAAAAGCCCATGAAAACTTGGGAAGTTGATTGGTTATTTTGAAAAAGCTCCTGATTATAACCCCAGGGAAATAAAGAAGCTCACTCACTCTCTCTCTCTCTCTCCCTCTCTCTCTCTCTCTCTCTCTTACCCACATTCTCCCTTTTCATTTGTTTATGTGATCTCTTTCTTTTGGGACCATTCCGGTCTAGAAGCTACTGGGGCCTATGGCAGACTAGGCTTTAACAAGAAGAATCTTGGGACACTGCCTTTTTCTTTTGGTTTGCTGAGGACACAGGTGGACTTTTTTCATGGTAGGATGGAGGGAGATGGGACATTGAAAACCCAGGGGCAGATTTCAAGATGAATAAACTTTACCACATCACAATCTTCCATGCATGGGTCCTTAGAATGATTTCCTCACAATCCTGTGGAAGAGCCTGATTTCTACCACCCACAGCAGCACTATCTGGCTTCCTTGCATTTTTGGCTAGAATTCTGGAGGGCAAGAAAGAATGCCTGGGCTGGTTTGGGGCTTCTTCTCTGGGCTCCCCCAGCCCACTGAGCTTTTTGGTCCTGCTCACATCACCCAGGTTGCCTGGAAGCCTGGCCCCTTACCCCAACCCAAGGGCAAGGCAGTGTATCAGTGTTTGTCAACTCAATAGTAAATGTGAAGCTCCTACGCTCCCTTCTCACCAGGAGCTGTCTTTGGGGCCACTGGGACATAGTGGGCAGCCGGAGATGCTTGTTGAGCTGAGGGAAGATGAGGCAGAGCCCCAAGTGCTTGGGTCTATGTTTATTCCCACTCTCTGGGGGAAATGAGACAACAAATGAGAAATGCCTTTGTCAAAACATTTTAAGTCTGAATATGAGTGAAGGATTGCTGAGCACAAGTGGCCCTCTGCTGAGGCCCTGTGGCTGGCCAAATTGGTTTTCTTTAGATAATGTGATGTCTTGTTTTCCAAACATTATCTCTCTGTTTTTTTTCTTATAGGGTCTCCTTGCCTCTCTTTTCTGCTTGAGTGATTTGACTAGTATTTTGGAAGTGCCATAGACCATTTTTAGATGGGACAGATGCAATTCTTACCAGCTGGAAGACTGACATCCTGAGACAGCAGCCCTTGTGCCTGTATACAAAAAGAAAGTAAAATATCAGTCCTCATCCCCTGAGGGAGCTCCTGGGGGTTGAGTGTGTTGTTCAGCCCGCTCCAAGTGCTTGGCCTGAGTTCTGGTCCAAGAAATGACTCTTTTTAAAAAAAAATTAATTATTTTTCAAGTACAGTTTTCTGTCTTTTACTCCCATCCCAGCCCACCCCCTCCACACTGCTCCCCACCTCCCACCCATTTCCACCCCCCTTAGTTGTTTTTCATGTGTCCTTTATATTAGTTCCTGTAAATCCTTCCCTTTTTCTCCTGAAATTCCATCCCCTCTCCCCTCTGGTCGCTGTCCCTCTGTTCTCTATTTCAGTGTTATTGTTTTTATTTTGCTTGCTTGTTTGTTTGGTTGTTTAGCTTCCTGTTAAAGGTGAGATCATATGGTATTTGTCTTTCAGTGCCTGGCTTATTTCACTTAGCATAATGCTTTTCAGTTCCATCTATGCTGTTGCAAAGGGTAGGAGCTCCTTCTTTCTTTCTGCTGCATAGAATTCCATTGTATATATGTACCATAATTTTTTGATCCATTCATTTACTGATGGGCACCTAGGTTGCTTCCAGCTCTTGGCTGTTGTAAATTGTGCTACTCTGAACATTGGGGTACATAGGTTCTTTTGGATTGGTGTTTTAGGGTTCTTAGGATATAATCCCAGCAGTGGAATTGCTGGGTCAAATGGTAGGTCCATTTTTATTTTTCTGAGAAAATTCCATACTGTTTTACATAATGGTTGTACCAGTCTGCAATCCCACCAACAGTGAACTAGGGACTGCTTTTTCTCACAACCTCTCCAACATTTGTTGTTTGTTGTTTTTTGTATGATAGCCATTCTGACTGATGTAAAGTGGTATCTCATTGTGGTTTTAATTTGCATCTCTCTGATGGCTAGTGTATTGAGCATCTTTTCATGTGTCTCTGGATCCTCTGTATGTCCTCCTTGGAGAAATGTCCGTTCAAGTCCTTTTCCCATTTTTTAATTGGGTTAGTTGTCTTCTTAGAGTGGAGTTGTGTAAGTTCTTTGTATATTTTGGAGATTAAACCCTTGTCTGAGGTATCATGGGCAATTATGTTTTCCCATACAGTTGGTTGTCTTTTTAATTTAATAGTATTTTCTTTAGCCATGCAGAAGCTTTTTATTTTGATGAGATCCCATTTGTTTATTCTTTCCTTTATATTCCTTGCTCTAGGGGACACATTAGTAAGAATGTTGCTGTGTGAAATATCTGATATTTTCCTACCAGTGTTTTCCTCTAGGACTTTAATAGTGTCATGGTTCATATTTAAGTCTTTTATCCATCTTGAATTTATTTTGGTGTATGGTGTAAGTCAGTGCTCAAGTTTCATTTTTTTGCATGTAGCTGTGCAGTTCTCCCAACACCATTTGTTGAAGAGGCTATCTTTACTCCATTTTATGTTACTGCCCCCTTTGTCAAATATTAATTGACTGTAGAGAGTTGGGTTGATTTCTGGGCTCTCTGTTCTGTTCCATTGGTCTATGTGCCTGTTTTTATGCCAGTACCAGGATGTTTTGATTACAGTGGCCTTGTAATACAATTTGATATCAGGTATTGTGATTCTTCCTGCTTTGTTCTTCTTTCTTAAAACTGCAGCTGCTATTTGGGCTCATTTATGATTCCATATAAATTTTTGAAGTGTTTGTTCTGTGTCTGTGAAATATGCCATTGGTACTTTAATAGGTATTGCATTGAATCTGTATATTGCTTTGGGTAGTATGGACATTTTGATCATGTTAATTCTACCTATACATGAACACAGTATATGTTTCCATTTGTTTGTGTCTTCCTTGATTTCTTTCTTCAGTGTTGTGTAGTTTTCTACATACAGGTCTTTTACCTCCTTGGTTAGGTTTATTCCCAGATATTTTATTTTTGTTTTTGCTATATCGAATGGGATTTTTTTCTTGATTTCTGCTTCTGCTGATTCATTGTTAGTATAGGAGAAATGATTATTGAATAAATGAATAAGTCCTTGTCCCATCCAAGTGATAGAAGACACTTTCTCAGTTTCTTTTATTTTATCTCTTCTTTACTGAATGTTTATTTTGGGCTCAGTGCTGGGCTTAGTGTAGGGAGCAGCAGTGGTTCCAAACATATTTAAGACACTGTTTCTCTATCAACCAGAAGCAAAAAATGTTATCTGGTCAAATATCTGTGAAAATCACATATACAATGTGAAATTTTGAGGTGAGCAGCCATCATTGCTATAGATGCAGGACATACTTTCTCTAAATTTCATAGCACTCTTAAACACAGTTACCTCTCCATTTTATACATGGAGCTTGACAAAGGAAGTTGGCCCAGTTAGCAGCACCACTGGGAATCCAACCTAGATCTCCCCCTTGCACACCTGTTCCCTATACCTGGATACCTCCTGCTTTGGGACAGACCTGATTAGCTTGTAGCAGGCAGAGGCTGCTACCTCCTCCCTGACCTGAAGGAGGAGCCCTGTCCTGTTCTGAAGTCTTGGTGCCTTGCCCTCACTGAGCAGCTGAGCAGTGTAAAGTGGTGGCTCTGTTTTATTTCTCAGCATGCTCCCTGCACCTAGCATAGACCTGCCTTCAGGAGGGATCCAGCAGATATCTGTTCAGTGAAACTATGAATGAAGTACTTGGAGAAGATGGATTTTACAGGTGGGTCAGGTGAAAGTATAGAAGGGCATTTTCTAAGGAAAGGGCAACTGCAGGGAAGGCAGAGGGTCAGCAGCATGTTGGGCTGAGAAGACTAAGCGGGAGGAAGGACAGTGGGGTTGTAGTCAGCAGTTTTATGTGACAAAGTCTTTTTGCCACTCTGTTCTGTTGGATAAAGAATTTTCTTATTCCAATTTTTATTTAGTACATAAGTATTTATACATTTAATGAAACTGTAAACTTACATTTTCCCACCTAAACCCAAAGAAACATGGTATCTTTCCTTCTAGTCTTGTCCATACTCTTGTCTCTTGGGACAGATGGAAGAAAGACCCTACAGCACAGTCTGAGCATCTAGAAAGTGTGTCCTGGGGAAGCTGCAGCCCAACCTCCCAGGAGATTCTGAGTCTGGGCTTCCCAGCCCAGGCACTGTCCCTGTGTGAGGGTGTGTCCACAAGGGACTGGGAAAGGGTGGGCATGGTGGGAGAGTAGGGCTTTGCCACCTACTAGCTACAGGAGCCAGAGCAGGTCCTGCAACTGATTTAGGTCACTCCTTCCTGAAATGGGAACACTTGGGTTTTACAGAGCCACTGTGAGGTCACTGAGAGCATAACACACTCCTGAAATGTTTGTGTGTGTCCCCAAGCCTTCCCCAGAAAGCACTCCTGAGGTCTCTGAGGAATTATAATGTCCATGCAGGAGACTGTTGACAGATTCCCCCAGGTTCCCTCTCCTCTAACCTAGGAGAAGAGTCCCAGGTGACTTCCTGCCACTGCCTGGACACTGGCAGCCCACAGGGACCCAGCCAGGTGATGTTTTTATGAGAAGGCAATGGGACAAACCACAATTAACAGTTGCCCTAGGGGAGAACTTCTCAGGTACTTTGCTCCATTGCTCTGAGATGTTGCTGTTCCCAATTTGGGCATAGTGGTGATCAACAGAGGGTGAGAAATGCTGAGACTTCGCAAAAAGCTATTCAACTATTAAGTGAGGAAGGGGATTCTACTGCCCAACTTTGAAATCCATGCTCTTTGCTCTACTTCCTCTGCTTTGGAAAAATTTAAGAGTCTGTGTAAAAGTGCAAAGAAGCCCTAATCAAACCCTGTCTTCCAGGCAGCTCTTTCAGAGGGAGGCTTGTCTGTCTTCCTACCACACATTACCCAGGGAGGCAGCAGGTAGGAAAGACTCAGAGGGCATTGCTTTGCTTCTAGCTCCCCATTGTTGTTCTAGCTCCTCGTTTCTCCATACCAGGTAGAAATGTGAGGCTTACCCATGGTTCCTGGCTTTGTCATCCTCTGTCACCCATGGCATCTGACTTCCATGTATACCATGCCATCCCTCTCCAGACACCAGGGCTACCTCACAGGTGCCCTTTGCCAGACCTGCTCTCCCCTGGCAGGCTGTGGTAGCCTGTCAAGTTTCCTGGACTCCCACTACACTGATTCTTAGACTCTGGTAACCTCCCCTCCCCCATGACTGGCTCTGGTATCCCCATGTCCTAGAGCTGCTCCACATCAGAAGCCATCTCCTTCAGCTCCAGCCGCACCCAGGCATCACCACATCCTATCCCATAAACAACTGTTTTCTCATTTTATCCTGATCCTTAGGCCCCTTCTTCATCTATCAACTTGCATCCTAGTTCCATTTCTATCCCAACCATTGGTTTTATAAATACCCATAAACAGAATATAAAGTTGTTTTATAAATACCCATAAACCAAATAAAATAAAAGTAAAGTCCAGTAAGTCACACACACTGCAGGCACTTCTCGGGTCCATCACTCTCTTGTAAACAAAGTCCTAGCCCTGAGCTTCACAAGGCCAAAGATGGGTTGTACACCCTTCAAAAGAGAGGCCAGGTGGTTTCATGACCTGCATCTCCCCGGTACTTGACTTTTAGGGTACCCTTCTGTGGACTCTGGTCAGCTCCTTTGGCAATAAACAAAACAAAACAAAACAAAACAAAACAAAACAACCCCATTTCAAAGTTCCCTCCCTCCACTCACTCTTTAGATTACCTTCATCTGCATCACTGAAATAAGGGAAACCACACTCAGCTTCCAGCTCTGCCCACTCTGCTTTTCCTATACCTGTGAGCACCTAAGGGATTGCCCATGGGAAGGGACCACCTGATGGCCCCACACTCATCCTTTTGCCCTGTCCTCTCTGACAGTTGATCAGATCTCATGGACATTGAAAGGATAATAAAGTAATATTATGAGCAACTGTATACCTAGAAATTTGGTAACTTAAGATGAAATGGACCAATTCTTTGGAAGACACAGTCTATCAAAACCCACACAAGGGAAACAAACCCATGACCCTATG